CCATCGACTTCCTGCATGTCTTACCAGGTCGTCACTCCATCTAGTGGGGGGTCGCCCTACACTACGCCTACCGGTACGAGGCTGCCACTCGAGAACCTTTCTTCCCCATCGGTTATCGGTTATTCGAGCTATATGGCCGGCCCATTGCCACTTCAGCTTACTAATCCGTTGGGCTATGTCGGTCACTCTGGTTTTATTGCGGATATCCTCATTTCTGAGTCTATCACGCAGAGAAACTCCGAGCATAGCCCTCTCCATAGCTCGCTGAGCGACCTTATACGTCCTCATACGGCCAGCAGTGAAGGACCACGTCTCTGATCCGTAAGTCATCACTGGCAATACGCACTGGTTGTACACTTTAGTTTTCAGAGATTGAGGTATACCTGACGAGAAGAATCCGTCGATTGACCTCTCGGTCGAAGTTGGACTTACCTAGTCGGACTATTTGTCCCAGGTAAACGTACTCGTCAACAACTTCGAGCATAGTGCTCCCAACAACTACCGGCACAGGTGTGACATGGACATTAAACATGATCTTTGTTTTGTACATGTTCATCTTAAGACCTATCCGTTGGGAGGCACTATTGAGGTCATTGAGCATAATGCTTAAGTCCTCCAGCGATTCTGCCATAAGGACTATATCGTCGGCAAATCGAAGGTGAGTGATGTACTCGCCATTGATGTTAATACCGTATCCTTTCCAGTCCAGTAGCTTGAAAACGTCTTCCAACGCAGCGGTGAAGAGTTTCGGGGATATAACATCACCCTGTCTTACACCTCTCTGCAGTTGGATAGGTTTCGAACTCTGGTTCTGTACTCGGATAGCCATCGTAGCCCTACTGTATAAACACTTCAGCACTTCGATGTACCGACAGTCAACTTGGCACAAATTTCGACGGAATCAAAAGCTTTCTCATAGTCCACATATGCCAGGCAAAGTGGCAGATTGTACTCTTCGGTCTTCTGTACAATCTGCCGCAGGGTATGTATGTGGTCTATGGTACTGAAGCCTTTTCGGAAACCGGCTTGTTCGGGAGGCTGGAAGTCGTCGAGTCTGCGTACGAGACGATTCGTAATGACTCTCGAAAATAGCATGTAGACGCGGCTCAGAAGGGAAATCGGTCTGTAGTTCTTCAAGAGAGCGTTGTCGCCTTTCTTAAAGAACAAAACCACCGCGCTTCTGCTCCACGCCTCCGGAGTAGTGCCACCATGGAGGACGGAATTGAAGAGCTTCTGAAGGACTTCAAGTACCGGTGTTCCATCCGCTTTCAGAAGCTCCGCTGTAATTCCATCCTCGCCCGGGGCCTTGCCGTTTTTAAGGTGGTGGAGAGCCATTCTAATCTCGCTCAGACTGACGTCCGGGATATCATCGGAATAGTGTCGGATAAGACTTGCTCTTGGATCGTTACTCACACTTGCGTGTGGCTCCAACGATGATGTGTACAGCTGCCCATAGAACCTCTCAATCTCACTCAGAATCTCAGGTGTCCCGGAAACGATGTGTCCACACTCAGTCTTCAGCCTTGACAGTTGGCTCTTTCTGGCAGACAGATCTCTGGCAAAGACTTTGGAGCCCTGGTTCCGCTCGATCGCTTCTTTAATACGAGAAGTATTAAAGTTGCGTAAGTCTCGCCGCATGCATTTGGAGATCTGTCTGTTCAGTTGCCTGTATGCTGTCAAATCTGTTGACGATTGCAGCCTCATCTCCCGTCTAACAGCCATGAGATTAAGAGTGTGATCGGAGAGTTTTTGTGTTCTTCTGCGGCGGGTCTTGTAGAACTTAGCTCCGACCGCATGGACAGTTTCCACGAGCTTGTCGTTCATATCGTCCACTGCATTGCAATCTTCTAGGCACTGGAAGCGGTTACGTAACTCGAGCTGAAAGGTTTCGGGATTCTGGATTAGAGCACGAGGGGGGACGGAGCGTTGACTTCATTAGACGAGACCTCTCCAACTTAACGTTTAGGTTCAGTGTGCCTCTAACCATTCGGTGATCGCTGCCAGTTGTCACCCTTGCGATCACTGAGACATCACTGAACAGTTGGCGTCTGGTCGTCATAATGAAGTCAATCTCATTTTTTGTCGAACCGTCGGGGCTCGACCATTACCATCGACTTCATTCATTCTATTCATTTTTTCATTCCTAATACTCGAAATTGACTCCTCATCTCGATCAATAGGCGGGGTGTACCGCGCGCAAGTGAGGTTGTCAGTGAGGACTTTTAGAACATCTGCACCAGGGCGACGCCATTTATTTATATTCTATTATATCCCTATTCTTATATGTTCCTAAGAATGAGGTGAAGTATTTGACTAATTTCATGGCCGAAAATTTAATCTATTAAGTTTATTAGTTTTTTCTGAAACATAGTTTATATTAATTAAATTAAAAATGGTTAAGTTCCGGATATCCCTAAAAGCAAAAATAATAAGAAAGAGAAAACAAAGGCAATAATAAATAAACAGAGGAATTGTATTGAGTCCCTTCATATTTACATATGCTAGCAACCGAAAACTTTTATTTAAAACGCAGCTTTTCACTTATGACGACTTGTTATAGACATATTACCTATTTCCAGGGCTCGAAAAAGTTATCCAAAATAACGTTTTTAAATCGTTTGGAACAGTTCCTTGTATAACATTTTGTTCGGAACATAAACGAAATGAGAGCGTAATGTGAGGAACGTAAAAAAAAATGGATTATTCCGCAGGAAGAGGGATGACGGCGTGCCTACATTTTGGTAGTAAGGCATAATAGTATTTATGACAAACCATGATATTTTTTGGACATTTTAAATAAAGTTACAAGACATTTGTTTTTCAGTACAATGTTTTCATTATGTCACATTAACTTTATTTCATATCGTCAAGAGCCACAATATGTCCATTGTCCAATCACGCCTAGATAACATACCTACATGTACTGTAACCTACTAACGTTTTTAATTATAATAACTAATTTCAAATTTTTCTTTTATATCCCACATTATGAAAGAGGGATACCCCTCTTTCATAATCATCCGCAATATAAAAAATATAAAGTATTACTTGGCATGAGATGGGTAGATCGGCACGTTTGACGTTACTTTCGTTTGTTTTGGTGTTTCTTACTTTATTCTCTGTCATAATAAAGAGTAATCCGTAAGGCGAGTAACTAGTGATCTTATCGTACAGTGCATCTCATTATTCACACCATTCATTACTGCCTGTAAAAGTCCACTGGTGAACATTGATCTTCCCATAGATTGTCTCAAAGGTAAGATTTTGCCATTTGCCACGTTTAGCTGCCGGTTTTCTTCCGCAGGTTTTTAAAAAAAAATAATATTGAGTTGTTATCAGAAAGATGCTGCTGCCCATCTTTTTAGGGTTCCGTAGTCAACTAGGAACCCTTATAGTTTCGCCATGTCCGTCTGTCCGTCCTCGCTTAATCTCTGTGACCGTTAGCACTAGAAAGCTGAAATTTGGTACCAATATGTGTATCAATCACGCCGACAAAGTGGTAAAATAAAAATTGGAAAAAAATGTTTTATTAGGGTAGCCCCCCTATATGTAAAGTGGGAAGTGATTTTTTTTTAATTTCAACCCTAACGTGTGATATATTGTTGGAAAGGTATTTAAAAATGAATAGGGGTTTACTAAAATCATTTTTGATAATGTCAATAATTTCGGAAATAATCGCTCCAAAAGTAAAAATCAATGTGTCCCCCCCCCCTCTCTAACTTTTGAACCATAAGTTTAGAAAATATGAAAAAAAAATCTGAAAAGTAGAATTTTATAAGGACTTTCTAGGAAAATCATTTTGAACTTGGATGGAAACAACAGTACTCACTACCCACACCTTTAAACTCATAAGTGGGAACACTTATTGTGACGGACGGGAAACTACGGAACCCTACACTGAGCGTAGCCCGACACGCTCTTGGCCAGTTTTTCATTTTCCCTCTGTCACCTCTTCCGACACCCACGGGAGTGGATTCACACACACCAATCACTCAAATGGAATCTTGTACTTAGATTACAGTCATAGATCTGATTAATTCGTGAGATAAATAAATAATATGAGTTTTTAATATTTCAATGGGAAGAAACTACGGGGCATGTTTGAAATAAAATATTAGTTTTTTTTTTCAAAATTTTATTTATGTGTCCATTTTAATTAACAACTGAAAATCAACACACGCTACAACGAATCCGTAGCAAAGCTATAACATCCCATTCGGATTTAGGGCTATTGGTAAAATGGTCGGACAGTAATGGAAATGACACAGAAGTCTTTGTGCGCGGAAAAATAATACTGTCGGAAAAAAATGAACTTCAATGCAATTATGTGTCGGAATCAATTATTGACGAGGATGATAAAAATACTATTATAACACAATACTTTTAGAACCTTTTTGATATAAGTCATGTCTGAAAAACAATGGTGTATTAATTTCAAATTTTTACTTCGCTTTAGTGAAAAACGTTTCAAATTTTCATCAAACACATAAAATCAATATTTACATTACAAAATGTTTACCAACTGGTATCTACATAAAAATTTACATAGTTTCATCTACATGCTTTATAAAATCGGTCTTTACTTTTCGCACGTATAAAGGCAGGCACAAAATATACAGGAATTTTAAATTATAAAAATTTTCATAAGGTATTCTAATCATTCAAGGATCTTACAAAAGATGCTAGCTTACTGAACCGTTACTTAATATAGTAACATCATTACTAACAATAGTCTACACGGTTATAATATAACATCAGGATAAATCCATACACATGTCAAAGATAAAATTAAAATTAACATTTAATTAAGAACACGAACATTTCATAAATCAATCGCATTTCTTTACCCTGTTTGTACGGAATCTCGTACAATTAATCATGAGGTGCATTTAAATAATTACTTTAGGAACAACGTTGAATAAACTGTTGTGATAAAATGTAACACTTAAATTGTTCACTTAAACAAAAATAACTTAAATAAAAATATTCTCAACATTAACCTAAAAGTCGGAACGACCGAAGCATTTTTCCCTCACCCTTTTGATAATATTGTTATCGGGGAGCTTCCAGTCTAATGAGTTAGGACGACTTACTTCCTGTTCTTCTGTGTCTTGGGATTCGAACAAATCTCTGGAGTGGTGGCTGGATCTCCCGGTTCTAAAATTCTTACAATTCTTCTTCTTACAATTATCTTCTCGTTTTATCTTTATATTTAGACTATCGTCCAGTGATCGTGGAGTTTTCCAAGAAGACGGTTCATTAGATTGTTTTATAAGAACGTTAGGCGGTGAAAAGTAGGAGAAAAATGGGCTCGATGACTTGACGTCCTCCTTGTCTTCGGTATTAGACATAACGAGGAACGAAAAAGTACTATCTGTGTCGTACACTTGTTCACGGACATTAGATGTTGCATTGGTGTTTATATTTCTCTGGCGTTCGTACATCTCTCTATTACCTAATTTTGTTTGACACTTTTTAACAAATGTTATAAAATCGTAATAATTTTCAATTTTATTAACACAATTGTAACAAATCGTGTTAAGATAGTCCGATTCTTCAATAACAAGTTTTAAGCAGACGAGTATTTTATCAAGCATGTTTGTTCTTCGACAGAAACTTCCGAACAGAGACACATTAAACTCATTCTCTGACAAACATATGCGACAAGAACATCGCGATAGTGCCATTTTTAAATTAATGTAATTGTTTACCTTTCAGAATCTATTTTTTTACCGCAGAAATTTGCAGATTTCCCGCCATAAATGCGTTATAGATTATATCATTTTTGACCAAATAAAACCCCCACAGATAATATTAAAAACCAACATCTACTTATAAGTCAGAAATTAAATTGCCATATATATATACGGTTTGCAAAAAATACTATACTTGGACGGCATAGTTGTGTCATATAAGTATACAATTTTTGTTAGGCATTTGTGCTTTAAATTATCAAACCGTCAATTTGAAAAGAATTTATATATTCCTTTAGGTAATTAATGGAGGCTTTGGTGAATCTACAATAACATCACAGACTAAATAAAAAGCATATTTATTTATTTGCATTATGCACTCGTAAATAACTTTAATAGAATTGCATAAGAAAAGTCTCTTATAGCGTATTCCATTCACGTAGCGACTGTATTAAGGATCGTCGATCAAACCGTCGAAACTAAAAAATATTATTTATAAAGTCTTTTACGCAACGACAGTTCGATTAGCACACATGTGTTGCGATTTGGTCACATGGATGATCCGCGAAATGCGATTAATAGCATGTCATTACATGTGGAAAGTGGTGTGCTTTGCTGCGTAAATCATTACAATATAAGTAAAAAAATAATTGAACAGAAAATACGCATTATCAATAGTAATATTGGAACTTGTGGCTTAAAATAAAAGAATTTTTTTCCAAACGCAGTTATCGTTACAATTTCTATAGTGACATATTTATTATCTGCCTCGGAGAATACTATTCGACATTTTCGAAAAAAATCCAAAGAGAAATTCTAAGTTATAGATTACTTTATTCTTTAACTCTGCGTTGACAAACAAAATGTCTTTCCTACAACGATCTAATTTCCCTCATAAATTTCTTTAAAAATTTTAATGACACTTAAGTTATGACACATCTACTTTCCTTGAAACTGATTGGCTTGTTCATTTAAACCATGGATGTTAGAAAGAAGGAGAACGATCGCTACCTGCTAAAGCATGGCCCGCCTGTCCCTGAACTGCCGTCGATAAGTAGTAAGAGAAAATAATAGTGCTCTTTAATTTTTAAAATTTTTGATAAAAAGAAACATTAAAAAATAGTGAAATATTGCATTGTGCACGGATGTGCAAGTGGTTTAGCATCTGATCAGAAAAATAGACTGAAAATGACTTTCATTGAGACAACTTAGCGATCGCAGCGCCTCATTTATTTTCGTACTCGTACTCATTTTTATCATGGAGGTTAGAGAGAAGGAGAACGATCGAAAATAGTATCCCAGAAATATGGACAAAATAAGTGAAGCGCTGTGATCGCTAAGTTGTCTCAATAATTTTAATTATTATAAATATTGAATAAAACTATTATTTACGGATTTTATCGCGTTTAATTACTTTAATTTATTTTTATTATTATCCCGACGTTTCGGGTGCTTTACAGCGCCCATGGTCACGGGGGGGGGGGGGACTGAGATGTTTGACGTCCCAATGTCATAGTAGTCCGGCTACCTTCAGTTTTTTAATATTAATTTTTTGGTCCGATATTATAAATATTATAAATTACGAATATAAATTATTAATTATTATTGATTTATTATTATTTTATTATTTCATAATATTTCACTATTTTTAATGTTTCTTTTTGTCAAAAATGAAAAAAATTATTTCACAGACACTACTTTATGGAGTGTAGAGGTAAGGAGTGCAGACTGTAGTGTCCGTGGGAAAGTATTGTTAAGGGTGGCGCCACTGTAGCTATAGTCTAAATTTTAAAGAACTTTTTATAATTTTTTATTGCACAGACTTTCACCATAATTCTTTTTACAATTTTATTGCTTTCAAAGTTTTTATTTTCAAAATCAATTTCAACGTATTTTACGGCGATTTATCACCATATACCCTGTAGCTACTCAAGCGCTGTTGTGGATAGTTTTTGAACTGTTATTTACCTCTTACAGATGAGCACATTTTCAACTCTCCTATGGAAGATTGTTCTCCTTACCTCTACACTCTATGCACTACTTACAGACGGCAGCGCGGCTATAAATTCTACAAATTTTCAAGAACAGGCGGGCTATGCTTCAGCACATAGCGATCGTTCTCCTGTTCTCTAACCTCCATGATTCAAACCGTAGCCAACATCAAAACCACAAAAATTTTCACTGATCCTTTGACATGACCTTGATCGTACGGAACAAATTTACTAAAGCTCGTGAGATGGTGCGTACAACCGTCGATACGGGAATGGCCTTCTTATGTATTTAAACTTATAATATCATACGATTTATGTAATGATACACTACTAAAAAGTGAATTGAAAAACAGTGACGTATCTAACTTATTCGTAAAAGAACTGAAAAGAAATGAGACGTAGTCCATTCAAAAAGGATCTAATCCACAAAAAGCTAGTTTTCACAATGTTTGTTAGATGCATTTGTAATTTTGATTTTAATCGGGTTCTAAAAAACGAGAAGTCACTAGGTATAATCGACGTATACTTGTGAGTTTTGCTGGAAGTTTCAACTACTTCTATTAAATCTTAGGGGTTATATCTAAAAATTAATTTGTTATAATATTTACTTAGTTTTGATTTAGTGTCGGATGGATACTTTTTGCGTGTCTACGCCCATTTTAAGATTTTTTTAAGTACCCGCCTGCCTCATTAAGCGATAAAAGGCATATTAAATAAATTCACCTGTTTTTAATTTTACGACTTAAAACCTTACCTACATTTAAGTCTGAAAATTCGATACAGAATTATATAAAATCATCATTCTAAATATCCTTATCTGATTGATACATTTATGAATACTACATAATAAGCCACCACACTCCTGTTCTTTCGCCTGGTCTCGTGTTATTATTCATATGAAATAAATAGGTACTTACGTTATAAATTATAAATTTAATTGATCAATGTTAAAAAGCAAAGCTTTCTGATTTAAATACTGCGTAACATTTCTAGTTTTTAGAAAAATTGTGACATTTTGAAAATAAAATAATGAGAGTACATAAATGTTTTGACTGGTTTTTGCGTTTGAAAATTAACTATTTTAATATAGTATTTTTATGCTTCATATTTAAGTTTGTCTCGTTAAGCAAATATTTTCAACTGTCACAATTCATTAAGACACAGTTAGAAAGTGGCTGGAGTAACATTAAACAGTGTCTTCTTCTTTCTTTCCCCAGAACTTATCGAATCTGTTACGAGCCCTGTCAAGGACCTCAGCTGCTGTCAATCCACCAGTGTTGGGCGTTTCATTGACAACGGTAGTGTCCACCACACCTGGTGCTTTCTGAGTAGCCTCAATAGCTTTTTTGATGACCTCTTTTTCTTTTATAGTTTCTTGTATCGGTGTCTCAGGTGTTAATTGGTTACTGTTGACGCCGTTAATGCCATTTACATTATTCATATCCAAGGCCTTTGTTTCGTCAATTGGAGTGAGGCTTATAGGGGTTGTGGGAGTTTTATCCGTGCGTTTGCTCAGGCTTGTTGGCGACTCGCTTTTTTTCAGCGATCGAATCGGAGACATCTGCTGGTGATGTATTGGAGCGATTTCTGAAACAGCGGTATATATTATGTTTAATCGAAAGCCTTTAGATAAATTATGAAGTCTAACAGCTTTAAATAATAAGTAAATATAATTTTGCTGCTGATTTTCAAATGCTACATACACCAACGCATACCATAATCTAAATACCTGCTGCATTTAGGGATCTTTATTGACACCATAAACACATTCAGCAAGCGCACAGATAATAACATTTAATCTATAGTATCGTATGTATTCGATACTTAGGTACATAGTGACATATTATGCATATATTTTATTAATTAATTTTCAGTAAGCTTGTTTCTTACAGGGAGATTGGAATAGGACGTGTTATTATCGTATTTTCCTACATTCCTTTTTAGTCCTCAGGGGTGGCAACGCATTTGCATTTTGATATTTAATTGATGATAGGTGTTAGACTATGGTCCACAACATCCACTTACAGGTGGAATGCGTTATCTTTACTCACCATTAGTCTATAAAAATTGCCGCTGTTACCGAAAATCGGTCTGGAGGTAATTACTATTACACTAAAAAAATCTAGATGGCATAAAGTCGGGTTTTAGTATAATTTAGCTCATAGAATACATGCATAGTAGAACGGGGGTGTGGGCGGAGCCCGAGTGAAATGCCACAAGACGTTAATTCATACGTGTAAATGTCAACACGAGATGTGTTTTGACGTTACAATCGTTTCCAAATTTCGCAAGTAAATTATTTAGAAAATGCCAAATTGCACGCTATTTACAAATAAATATTTATTTAAAATCCGTCTGTCAACACAGCAAATCGGCTTTGTAGTAGTGATTATCTGATAATACGACGTAATTGCTTGTATGTGTGCTCCAAAATAAGGTAACAAAATAAGGTTGACAGCCATTCTATTGTGTATTATAGTATTCTATGATTTAGCTATACTTACTTATAATAAAATGTCAAAAAATATTTATAGTTTAATACTCTGTGTTGCGCTGATTATTACGATTGTATGCGTATTTAGCTATACTTAAATATAGTGTCAAACATTACTTTTACCGACTTCAAAAAGGAGGAGGTATTCAATATGATTGTATATTTTTTTATGTGTCAGAACTATTCTCTGGGTGAACGGATTATGACGATACTTTTTTATCTGAAAGCTGGTACTTCTCGTGTGGTCTCATATACAGGTCGCGTATTTTTTGAGTTATCCTTAATAATGCGTATTTAATTGACTGTTGTTCTCATTTAAACTACCCATATTGAAGTCGGTTGCACAAAATTTTTCATTTTACCACTCGTATTCTTCAAATACTCTGTGCTGCAGTATTTGTTATGCTTAAATAATTACCTATACAAAATAAGCAATTAGTACTTACCTATATAGATATTAAGTAGGTACTTAACTCATTGGTACGCGTACCCTACGAGTACGTGTATCGAATACATACGACACGAACAACCACATTGTTGCTTGTAATTTTTTCCATTATTTTGTGTCACTTTCTTAAAATTTTTTAGTACTTACTTTTTTCTTTAAAACAGCAATTTTTTATATTTACTCATAGTATGTTTAGCCAAGTATCACATATTGCGTTTTTAATTCTAAAGGTGGAATAATAAATTTCTAATAAAGAGAAAATTAGTCTCCTAAAATTACTTTGAAACCCTTTTTCGTACACTAGCTACTTTCTAAGTGAATAAGTCGAGATCTAGACATTTCATTGAATTATTTAGAGTATAAAACGTCTCATTGGTAAAAACAGTTTATTATAGCTTTAATTAAAACACTAAATATTTGAAACTTTAAATATTTGGCCTATGTTACATGCTGAGATATTCAAAACTCCTAATTTAAACTAAATAGAAACATTTTAATAAATCGTTAGCATATTTTATCAAATTTCATATTCTGATAATTTCATGCGACTACCTATTGCATATGTTAGTGATTCAAATGTTATGAAACCTGAAAATTACTAGTTCTAGGGTCAAGGGAGCTTATAAGCCAGCCTATTAAAACAGCACGGAAATCATTACGAAAAGGCGCCACAACGCTACATCCTGACGGTGGCGTCTTTTCAATGACAGACTGATAGGCATCATGCAGAAGTGAACGTCAAATGACATGGGTAAAACAACAGGAATAATCAAGTGCCATACAGTGACAGTGCACGCAAACATCGAAACAGACACACACACACAGACAAGTGAATACATACGTGGTCGACGTCTCAGCGGAGTACGGTCAAAATAAAAAAGCATCTCAATTATTGGATTAACACAATTTAATCATGAACTATTCAATAGATATAATAATATAAAACACATTATAATATAATATCTGGTGTCAATCGTGTGTCGTGCTTGAGACAGTGAGCTCTAAACTGCAATAATCGATTTGAATAGAGTTCACTGTCGCATGGCTGTCTGTCACACTCATTAAAACGTGTATGGCCGATGGTCTAGGCGGTGGCGATGGTCGTCGTACCTGCCGGCTTCAGAGCGGGACCTTCATCGGCCACGGAGCCACCCTTAAACTCAGAGCTAGGGCGCTTTACACTCTCATCTGAAATATGGTGAGTGATATGTATGGTTGGATGAAGTGAGGCAACACACGCTATGTTCTACGTCCACAAAACAAATCAACAAGAGCGAATATACTGAAGGTGAACCAGTGGAGTTAAGCATTCCTGGGTTGAAAAGGAAGTGAAGAGAGAAAGACCTCACATACCTATTTGCTATCTTTTTCTAATCAAAAAATAATATCAGAAACAGATAATATATAGACACACTAAAATTACATCTATTTCTCCCAGTCATGATGTTAATCCATAATGGCCACATTCGATAAAATCGCTCCAAGACACTACGTGATTATGACAGAATTGAATATAAAATTACGTATAGTTAAAATATACAAAATTATAACATAAGTAGAATATTGAAATAAAAATTGACTCGTTAAAATTATACAGAATGCAACAACAATGATGCGAAAACAAAATGGATGATTCAAATTTTAATGAGTGTTACCGATAGTTAAAATTGTGTTTACAAAAGTTGAATTGTATTGAACATGATTTTATTGTGTTCGTTTTTCGTGTCAGTGTTGCAAGCTTTCTACTAAGTATTTAACTAGTGTGAGGTTGCTATTCATACGGTAATACGTAATGGTCGAGTGAACCTTATGAGGCAACTGGTCAGCTTATTGTCGTGTGGTGGCATGGTAGTGTGATGGCTTTCATTCTGATTCGTGGTTTACGCATCGGTATCAAAAGTTGACTTTTATTTAAACTGTATTCTGTACGATTTATATATTTTTGTTAAATAATCATCAACTGTGGATACTGAAGTAACACCGGATTATCTATACCAACTATAGACAAAATTTTCTTACCGATTTAAGCAACACTAAGAGTATCTTGATCATAGACTGTAGTTTTGTATTCTATTCTCAATTTTTTTAATTAAAACTTGATATACCTAGGTAAGAAAAAACCTTAGTTCTAACTTTTAATTACATATTTCGTTTCGTACACAAAGCATTTTGGCGGGTATTGGAGAATTATAAACTTTTCCCTATCCTATAAATAAAATAAAGAATATACTTTTCTGTAAGGAACTTAATTCTATAGTCATAAACATAGTTCATTATGTGTAGTTATTAAGGCAATTGATTAGTGGAATCATGTTAGGTAACACCATCATCATACAGTGCATAATGAAAAAGATACTCTTAAGAATAGTGAAACTAATTTTACGAAGTATTTTACAATATATTCGTAACCGTAACCCAACATGAAATCCAAGTATTATACAATGTCAACATTATAATATAATTTTAAAGGAATACATTTTGTATTAAGTACTAAATGCGTAAAACGGAGTTTCACAGATAATGTAACTAACTTAACCTAAAAATGTTTGCCGCCAACCTGGATAAGAGATTGGACTCACCGCTTTTGACGTTTTGCGTAACGGTGAACGTCTTGCCGGTGTCCAGGGGCACGGTCCAGTTGACCGGATCTGGAGAACGCATGTTCATTTGCTCCGGAGATTTGACCCGGGTGGGCTCCGGAGGCGACTTTACCACGGGAGAGTCGTCAAAGAAATGGTCCTTAGCGACAGAAGCGCTGCGATGAGATGTTATCTCATCTTCTGGAAGGTTCAATTGATTTATTTTTTATTTTCTTAGGTACTTATAAAGCAAATGTATTCTTTTGGCAGTCTTGGAAAGAATAAGAAAATATGCATGTATAACTTTATGATATATTTCTTAAAATTGGTAGTCATTTCATCCTTTTTTTTTAAAGTTACAAAACTAGGATAGAGTAGCTAAAAGGAAAAAAAAATAATGTGCTAATTGTTTCATTCCTCACTAAAAGGTTAAAAACATAAAAATAAATTACTATTTCTATAATATATAACATCTATGTATATCCATAAAAAACAACGACAACAATACAAGAAGTTTCTATGCCACAGACCAAAGAAAGAAAGATGGAGTGTTTAGATTTCAAATAACACGAAAATTAAGCCAAAGGTCAATTTATTGTAAGAACACGCACTTACAATATACATATGCATCTAAAGTCATTTACAACATCATGGTTTTAGGTGCATATATTTGCGCACAGAGTGAACATTTACTAGCTGTTAAATAATGAAAGTGAGTGTCAACAACTTGATCATGATTTCGGTATTAATTGAAATGTATGCAGCGCTCCGTCTATATTTCTTCGTTGTCTAAGTTCTATGGAGACAATAATAGGCATTGATTTGTTCTTAAGGCCTTTATGCAATGCTTCTTTATTATACTTTGATACAAAACATTTAAACTTCTAAATTTAGTTCTGCTAAAGGCCCTAGGAATAAAGTATACATGCAAAATACTAAAATTTTTGGGATTGTGTAAAACCTACCATAATCTACCATTTTAACCCAAAAACATTGAACATTATTTATTTTAAACCATAATAATCTTTTAGCAACAATAACTTCTAATATTTTCCTTATATAAGAAATGTGTGTGGTTACTAGGTTAATTTAATTGAATATGTCACTTTATATATTAAATTAGTTATGGCATTGTTATTCATTTATTTACAATATTATTCTTGGATAATAATTTAATAAGTAACAGAGCTTATACAAAACTCTTTGTGGTATAAGACTTATATCGATTTTGTAGCCAGAAACTCTACTGTCCCCTTTAGTGTTGTAGTGCAAATATTTCAAGTGTTACACACGGACAAGACGAACAACCACTCTTTGTGTAGTGCCTAAGCCATTCCCAATATTGGTGCCAATGCGCATTTTATGTGACATTATGTTGCGTAGACGCACTGACAAACATTAAATAACGAAATTTAAAATTGTACCATGTAAAGCTTTCAATAGTCCTGTGATGAAATTTCGAATATGTAACATTGACAAAAAAAAAACAAAAACACAACCAAAAAATATCACAAAAGCTTCACAAATACAAAAAAATAAACAATTAAGCTAGCCCGGTGAACTTTGTTGCCTTTGGCAAAGAAAAAACACAGAGCGTCGACGCAACTGTCACCTGTCAGACTCGTACGCACCCAATTTAATGCCCACTTTTGAAATGCTGCGACTGCGTCGGGCCCGTTCTGGTGTCTCAATTGCCCCATTTGTCTCATTAATTCCCACCCCTGTCCCACTTTTGCTCGGTGCCGAGGGCGACCGTCCACCCCTCGATGTCGACCTAACTCTATTACTACCCAACGGCAAACCTACAGAAGAAATGTTGCCACTCTAAAATATAACTTATATTTTTTCTATGCAGGCAAGAGTAAAACATTTTTAACTATATAACTTCATATTTTTTCTATGCAGGCAAGAGTAAAACATTTTTAAACATACAACACAGTAAGGATTAAACAGAATAATACAGGGTTGTATCAGGCATCAGAATGACTACAATAAAAACAATAAAAACTTGAAATATTCAGTTATGAAGTTTTATTAACACGATCTCCTGGAGGACTTAATAATCTCATTCGCAAAAAAATTGCGTTCACCTATTAACACTAAACACTTTAAAACATGCAATACTTACTTACTAAAAGTATTCTAAAATATTACAAAATAGTATTTTTTCTCAGCAAGTTAGGCTTTTAACATTAAACAGTTTTTTTTAAAGTAAGTAAGATAATACTACCAATGTTTTAGCAACAAAAAAATAGTGATTATAGTACCGATTGCCAGTATTGACCACCCAAAGAGCACATAATTAAAGAGTTTTTATTTTGCAATCTTCGAAGTCAAAACTCAAGATAATCCTTGACAACTTGCACAAGTTGACAAGAAGATCGCCATAACCACTTTTCAAATTAGTCTCGAGTTTCGATATTCAATTGTCTCGTTCAACTGTTAACCCCAACCACTACTAACCCCAACTTTTGATTTGCTGAACCTAAAAACTTTTAATTGCTGCTCTAAAAGCTAAACATACAATAACGGCCTTGTTCATAAAAATATAGGAAATGGTAAGATTTACATCATCAAGTGGCTTTAAAGCTGGCCAAATAAATTGCGTATCTGCGCGGCAGTCCCAATTTAGTAAATATAATAATGAAGATACCCTCATAAAAATAATGTAATACTTGATAATGTATCCCTTGATAAAACATTGTTATAACAAAATGCCAATTAATGGCAAAATTGTCACTTTCAGCGCAGTGCTAAATGTAAAAGTTTTATAAGATTTTAAACCAAATTGACAAACAAGGCCAAAGTTATTGAAGTAATATTATCTTAGGGGTCGCTTTGATTTTCTTCACCATTCCTATTGGAAAGTTTCGGGATTACCAGAAAATTTAATATAAAATACCTGGCCATAATACCAAATTTTTGGACAGGTCTTTTAATATCCAAGCGGTCCGTCTATGAATTGGAATGATATGAATGATTTGAAATGAATGACTTTAATTCTATATAGATTATTACACGATATTTATTGAAAATCTTTTTTATTTACCACACCAATGCCCTCTGTCTCTGTCAGGTAGACGAGCCTTGTCTTTGTCTTTGAGTTCGTGACATCTATATATAATGTGTACAAACGTATTTTCATGTATTTATTAGTTATTTATTTCCATATGTTACATGGATATATTTATAAATATTGTTTCTGCATCACAAAACCACACTATTTTCTGCTTTTTGTGATTCTGTCCGGATGAAGCTTGTCTGAAAGAAATTGCTTTAAACGATAAGACGACCCATTGTGTCAATATTTTTCTTTTCTTCTTCTTTCATTCGTCGTGTTTAAGAGTTATCAATTTATCTAATATTATATATTAAATACAGGGTTAGTTTTCAAAGGGTACCTAAACTTTATATTTTAGTTAAAATTAATAGCGATATACCGTTATTGCCGTTTTTGAAAATATAAGGCTTCTAGTTTAATTTGAAATTGTACCAAATTGAATGGAATTTATAGGCAACAACTACGTGTACGCGCGCTCCTGTGTGCGATTCAATTCACAACGTATTTGCAGACAGAACGATCTTTACGAATATGGCGTGAGTAGTAAAATAGTAGGCATTAGATATTTCTGAATGACAATCAGTTGAAATAATGCATTACCACACATTCTAAATTTAAAAGATAAAATGGACAGAATGTTTGAGGTTTTTGAAATCAATTTTACTTCACCATCCACCAGCCTATATCCCGAACTTTCCTGTAAATTTTGGCGTATATTGTAAAATAAACCTGTATAGAGACCTTGTATGTTTTCCGAGACTTTGTTGGTTGTATCTATTGAATGAATAATATGATTATGAGTTATTGATCAGACCAAAAGAATTTTTAACTGAGTGATAATAATACCTACTGCAATTTCAAATTACGTTTTCCAGGCACTCTCCATTGAAGTACTTAATATGTATCTATTACGTCTACTCACATAGATACGTGAGTATAATCACACAATTTTCATATAGATGGTATGAGCATAATCGAATTGAATAATTCAATTGAAGGCGATGAATAATTATATAAAAGGATTGTTTATGAATAAGGCCGTTATACTAAGCAGTAGAACATTGCAATGAAGACGTGGTGTGTGTGTACCTTGCGGTTTGTGCGGGCGCGGCTCGTGCGAAGCGCGAGCGACGGGCGCGGGGTCGGCCGAGCGCGGCCGCCGCCGTGGCGACCGGAACGAAGACTCCGTTTTCGCGCCTATTTTTATTATCATTATTATTCAATTAATTAAATATAATATATATCTTTATAGTGTTGCTGGTTTACTACAAAACAGAATAAAAATAGTGTCTACGTGTTAGACGGTGAAAGAAAACATTGTGCGGAAGCCTTTTTTTTTTTTTTGCATGGGGAAATGCCTACGCATACCCGCCTCGCGGGGGCAAGGACGGGTTATGTCGGACTCGCACCGACTAAAACCCCATGGTGTTCCACCTTTGTCGCATATTGGCAGGGCTACGGGAACGCTTTCGCACACATCCGCGGCCCTACTAGCGCCTGCCGCCCCATGGCATGGATGATAGAAATGTAGGGTCACAGTATCCACTTTCTATTAGGTGGGCTGTGTTTTTTTTATAGAATAAAGGTGGCAAACGAGCACACGGTCCATGTGATGATCAGTGAATATTGTGGCTCAGAGACATCTAAATTAAGAATCAAAATGCAGTTGCACAGTAACCCCCGAGGAATAAGATGGAATGCCCCATTTCCAATGAATAAGGTCTTCGGTTTCTCTACACTCACTATGTGAAACTTAGCAGCATCATGCTGCTATTTTATTTGCTATTATACGCTGGTAATCTGTGTGCTCGTTTGTTACTTTTATTCTATAAAAAAAAACAGCCCACCTAATAGAAAGTGGATACTGTGACCTTACATTTCTATCATCGATTAAGAATCAAAATATAGATGCGTTGTCACCCCTGAAAATCAAAATGCAGGCTTCCGCACGATCTATAATAAATAAAACCAGAGTCATCGACAAAGAATCAGTAGGCTGAAACGGTACTGAAATACAGCACAAAGAACCGCTAGCCGATGGAGAAGAAAGGTTCTCGAGTGACAACCTCGTACCGTTAATCGGCGTGTAGGGCGTCCCATAGATGGATTTACGACCTGTTTTAGTTAGAATTAAATATACCATTGTTACAGTTGGATATACCACATTTTGTGGTATTCCTTAAGGGGAGGCCTGCTTTCAGCAGTGGACTTGTGAGTAACTGCATTGATGAGGATGATGATGAATAGCTATCTTTATGTTTTTTTCTTCTAATATACGTAATTATATGAAAATAAAAATAAAAACCTCACATTTTATAGCAAAAGAAATTAAATCTTAGAGCTTTAATGAAATTCTCTCGGAAAAATGGAATATTAACTAGACCGAGTGTATATTCTACTGAGATAAAGGTCTAAATTATTTTCTACGGTGTAGGCTAACCTCCAGCTGTTAACTTTTTTTTACAGCATTGGGCGACAAACGAGCACACAGCCCACCTGATGGTAAGTAGATGCTGTGGCCCATAGACATCATTTATCCTCAACTAAGAATCAAAATGCAAATGCTTTGTCACCCCTGAGGGCTAAGATGAAATGCCTCGATTCCAATAAAAAGGGTCTCCGGTTCTCTACACTCACCATACGAAACCCAGCAGTATTACGCTGCTATTTTACGCTGGTATTCTGTGAGAGCGTGGTCCTGCCCCAGTCGAGCCGACCCATTTGTGCTACAAATACAATATAGCTGCAGCGTAACTGTTAGGAGGTCTTGTTATACACGTAACGTAAATAAATGTGACAAACGAGCACATGGTCCAGCGGATGGTAAGCGGATGCTGTTGCCCATAGACATCGATATTCTATTCTCGATTACGAATCAAAATGTAATAATGCCTTATTACCTGTAAAAAGGGTCCATGGTTCTCTACTTTTACCATACGAAATACGGCAGTATAGAACTGCTATTTTATTTTACGTTAGTATTACATACATACATTGTTTATGTAAGCACTTACGCCTGTCACCCAGAGGGGTAGGCAGAGACTACAGACTTTAATTTAGCACGATACTGACATACCTCTTTCGCCTCCTCCACATCCTGATCATACCTCAACGCATACATGCTCGTCGGTTAAAGGTACGCTTAATTTGACCCATTTTCAATATATCACCAATTTGGTCGATAAACTTTCGCCTAGGACGTCCTTTTCCGACTCTTCCATTCACTTCTGCAACATAAATTTGCTGTCACTCTTTCCTCATTCATTCTTTCTACATGACCAAATCACCGAAGCATTCCTTTCTTAATCCTGGTCACAGCATCATCTTGCAAACCACACTCTTCTTTTTTACGTTAGTATTCTGTGCGAAATAGGGCTAATGAAAAGGAAGATGAATAATTTTTTTTAGAGATAAAATACTTAAAAGCTTTGTAAGTAGTGTTGTGCGATGGTTTAGTCTAAGAAGAACATATGATTGGACTGTAAGTGAATCCATCAGGGGTCTGTCAAAACCATTACCCTATTCTATCATGTAAATGTTTAAAGTTTGCTTAAATCTAATAAAGGAATGATTTTTATATTTGTACCATCTTGGGTAGCACCTTCATCGAAGCTGTATCCCTGCAGCTTCTTTCTTTGCTTCTGCGGCGAGGTCTTATGAGGAGATCGTTCTAATGCCTTGGTCTCTTGAATTTTTGCGTGGATTGATTGGTGCGGCGCTGAGCGGAATGATCTGAACTTCTTCGGGGAGTGGTTCTTAGACTCCTTTCCATCTTTCTCATCTCGGGGAAGAGCTCTGTAATTGCGATGAAATAGTTATAGCAAAGTCATATTAAAGTTATTATAGAAGTAAACCTAAATTTTCTTTAGCCCTGTGGTTGCTGCATCAGATACTTGTTAGGTGTCCCTTTTTCCCTATAGTTGTCATAAAAGGAGTCTTAAATCGAGGTGAATGTCTTCGTCTATACTTCGTCGTAGCTTGTATATTTATGACAGGTCTAAAATAGTCAAAATGGCGAAGGAAAGTAGTATCGAAGATGCGACAAGTCTGATATTAAATCGCTAATTCAACTGTTTAATGTGGCGATTACACTAAATCCTGCTTAATATACAAGTGAAGCGCTTATTCGTGAACTTTTTACAGGCTAATTAGCTTTTTCCGTATTTCAGACATTTTAAAATTATTGACAGCGTTATTATTGCATAGGATTTAAAATTAAATAATTACATCATATTTCTCCAGTAAGGGCAATACAAGCTAGTTAGGTTCAGCTGGGTGCTGCATGTGACGAGCATATCCACACTTTAAGCCAGTCATAAAATTAAATTCGGCTGATTATCGCTAGTCTATTATAATTGGCTCTGAATTGCACTATAAGCCATTCTTGCTTGCATCAGCCGCATTGCTAACTAAAGTTATGGTAGTGTTCAAGCGAGTAAGTCTACAGCGAAAGACCATAACCGTTTCTTACATTTTTATTTTTGTAGCATAATTAAGTAAGAGATACAAAAATGGTCCTTCGAGCCAGACTTAAAATTAGCTTTCTTAAATATTTTTCGAGTGCATCACTTACTTGTGATTGGTGGAAGCGAGTGATAGGGCTGACAGCGAGGACCGACGGGAGACTTGGTACCAGAGCTCGATTTGCTTATTGTAAAGCTGAGTGATGTGTTCAGGAGCTAGTTCAGTTCCCCAGCCACGATACTGTCGAATTAATGGTAATTTTGGTTATGATCGAAGCGTGACTATTGTGTCATCTATCAAATGAATGAAAATTGACAAACAGTTAGTTCATTTGACAGACGAAACAATCGGTTTTATTGCGGCAATTAGTGCAGTGATTCATGTGGCGTTTCAAGTAATATTTAAGAGTTTTATATTGAAACATTTAAGAGCAAGGGATTTACTTTTATTGTTAAGAAAAAAGATTGTACTTTTAATAGTAATAGAAGTTAATTATAAAACCATACTATTTTTAGTTGTTTTTTTTTTCATGAAGTTAAAATTTTGCTTTGAATATTCATTAATTTTTAGCGGGGACTGAGTGGAGGAATAGATGTTAATGAGCGCAGACCTTGTATTCGCCGGCGCGCTTGCGCAGGTCCAGCACCTCGCGGTACCAGGAGTCGCCCTGCGCGAGCCCGAGCGGCTGCAGCCCGGCGGCGCGCAGCGTGCTGGCACTGTCCTCCCCTGCACCCGCCCCCTTCCCCGCTCCCGCCCCCGCCCTCGCCCCCGCTACCGCCCCCGCCCCCGACCCAGAACCCCCGCTCTCGCCCGCCTCTACCACCAACCTCTCGCTCGCTTCCTCATTCGTCTTCCCTTTCCCCCTGCATTTCGTAAACGTCCCTTTAGATGCCTCGTACACGTACTGAGAGAACGGTCTAAATTTCTTTTTGTACTCGCTTTTGTAACGTTTCCTATTATCTTTGGAACGATCCTCCCCGTTGTATATGAGGGCCGATAGTGCGCTACGGAACGTCGATTTTCTGCAAAATTTCATTTCAAAGTCTTAGAACTCTTGCGAGCCTCTCAACGATGAATATGCGGCAAAACAAAGTGCTCGCGCCGAGCCTGGTTAGTAAGGTAGTCATGCTTTTAAATAATCGTAAGCACGCAATGGTGAGGTAAGGATGTTAATTCCTGAAAGAGACTAGAGGAGAACCGCATTTGCGGGCGAGGCCGCCATACGGTGTCGGAAGTGTTAGGTGATACAGCGACAAACAATCTAACAAAAATTCTGAATGAAATTACACATCGACAAGGTGCAGGACACATTGATTATTAAAAAGTATTCTAGTAGCCTTCATTCCGTACTAATTAGTATCGTCTAAGCTACTCGGCCTAAACACCGCCACCGTGATAGAATTTAGATTAAAGCAAATATCAAAAACGAAATTTAGACTTGTTCTGCATTTCCCAGTATGGTGTGAAGGTTAGAGGGTGATAGGGGCAGAACATGGCGTGAAGGAAACTTTTACCACTGTTTTAAATTAACGTTTTGTAACGTTATAGTTATATATTGTGCATACAAAGCTAGAGCTCATGTTTATGGTAGAATTACTCGTATATCGAAGTATTCTCAACTTTACTTTTAGCAATGTCTTCTTATAATAGTTTCATGACACATGACACGATACGATGTTTGTCCTTGTAAAATTTCTTAATGTAAACTGCCCTTACGATGTAGGAGAAAATTCAAATGTGGAGGTAACTTTTTGTTACTCGGGTGTCCACATATTTTTAAATTAAATAAAGAACATTTGCGTTTTTTAATTTACGTCAACTTGTCATTGTTTTATAAATTTTTTTCGTATTTTTATACAAATATTAGGTAGACGTATAATTATTTTAAAAAAGGATTTAAGTCTCAATAAAATAGTTTTGGGATACTTAAAGTGTTTGGTCTTTTTTATTGAATAAAGGTATAAGAACATGAAGAGCATGAGGATTATTTTAGCATATATGATTTTAGCTTTGGTTGATATGAACAAAATTATAGATTAAAATTGTTGAATACTAATATATTTTTGCGATGTTGTAGTGCCAGCGATACCATGTTAATTAATATAAAACACGAAAGAAAAAGCTGATTTACAAATCATCACCATTTTACCTAGCTATTTACGTAATATTGCGGTCAGGTATTAAACCTTACTTTTGACATTGAAAAATTGGAACAATATGCTATATTACTCTGGTAGGTATAAAGGAAAGTGGCAATTTCAAAGGTCTGCAACTTTGTGAATTTCAAAAAACAATTTATACTTTGTAAGAGGAGTGTGGGTAAAAAACGACGGGTTGCACTCCGGGAGTGCCGGCAGAAGTGAAAACTTGAATATTAACGTTGTGCATTTTTGATATTTTGGAATGATTATGGAATAATTTTGCACGAATTGCTTTAATTATCACACACAAACATTCGCGCAAGCGCCCTGCGCCGCCTACGAAACAGCAGGCGCAGGCATACATTTTCGCCGCGCCGTAGAAAGAGAAGGGGATACTTCCTCTCCTACGCCGCGCCGGCTGTCTCTCTCTCTCTCCATCAGTCTTACGAATTTTCGATCAGGGTCACGTGTCCTGGCGCGAGTTTAACATTTTTTACACATTACAAAAAAGTGTACAAAGCCGCTAAAGAAGTTTTCACTTCAAAATTGACGTTTTAAAATACAAGGAAATATTTTGTCGCCATTTGAATTAGAAAATGGAACATTATTTCGTTCAACTTTTAAAAGAACAATATAGGGGTTCGGCGGGAATTTAACCGCTGGCGAATGGCTGCTCTTGTATGTCTGAAGTGGCTTTTGATATGTAAAAGTGGTGCTATTATATGTCTTAAATGTCTATGTATGTGCTCTATTAGCGATAAAGATAAAAGATGCTGATATAAATCTCAAGTTGTTTTCCTGCTGAAACGCCTTAAGATTTGAGACAATCATCATCATCGACTATCTGCTCTCTTTAACTGTCGCCTAAATCTCCCAAAAACTCCTCGTATCGTTGAGAAGTTTTGGAACAAATTATTTATCAACAAAGAACATTTTTTTATTATTTAGTCATTGGCAAAATTGCAAACGCACCTGTAACCAATATCAAAGAGAAAAAAAATTGAGGCCAATAAATTATTATTCTTAAATATTAAACCAATCTATTCCCGTTAATAGACTACCCTATGACGGCTCGTCAGCTTAGCAGCGTTTGGCTGCGGCCGTACGAATCCTTTGTAAGAATTCCGCTCCGAACAAGTATTTGCTACTTATTTGTTTTGGTAAAAGTTTCCTCCACCACAAGATTAGTACACAAAGCTAGACATAGAGAATATTGAAAGCTAGCAGTGTTAGTCGGTTTTCTATTTTCTTGCACCTGAAAAAATTATTTCCTTTTCTAATAACAATAAACTATAAAATAACGTATATATTATTAAAATATACTAAATGTTATAAAAAAACTACTCATATAAATATCCTAATAAATATATTATACCGGAATCTCACGGGTTTTACTAATTGTGTTACAATGCGATAGTGTCAAGTGTGAATTGAAATTTATTTTACACTTCATTTATTTTAATCGATCTTATTTCAATTTGATTTGTTACGAAAATGGGCGTGAAAAAGCTTTGCAGCTGAAGCGAAGCGTTCCTGACGTAAAATGTCACGAGTTCAGTGTATATGTATAGCTATGAAAACTATCGATTAATTTTACCCTTGCGTATGAATATTGCATAGTGTACTGTATAATGTACGAGTATAAGGAAATAATGGCATGCTAAACTAAGAAAATATTGATAAATAGAAGATTAATAAAAGATACAGATTACACAATATAATACTAGAAAAAATAATTTAATGATAAGCATTGAATGAAGAAGTGGAAAAGCTGAAGCTAGTTTTTAGAGTCTTTTTACAAATACCACATTAAAATATGTTTTTGTAAAAAGTATCCGTTAAATAAAAAATTTATTTACATCAGGTACATGTCCACTTGAAATATTTACCTATTAATTTATTATTTAAATACAACTGAAGTGGACAAATCGACCTGTGTATGGTACAGGGAAAAGTTTTAAAAGATGGTTCGTTAGAACATACCTCTGGACACCAGGCTTTTGGCCATTCCATAGATAATCTTCTATATATCTTTTATGACCATGATCGTCATGGTCGCCGTCGACGTGGTTCATCAGTGGTTCAGCCTCGACTGATCCTGAAATTAATTTTTTTGTAATTTAGGTAATACTCTCTCGACACTAGATAGACACCAGCCAGTCTGGAAGACCATGTTACGAATTTTTTTTAATCTTGGTTGCTGAGACTTGAAAAGATCTCATACACAGGGAAGCAGTATCTGAGGTACCAGATTTCTGGTGTTAAATGTAAAACGCAGCCATATTCTTCTTCGTTAACAGCCATTAAAAGTTTACTTATGGACATGGGCTTTTTCCATTGTAGGAAGCATTTTAGTTAGTGATTAGTCGTGACACGCTTAGTATACTAATTGATGTGTCAAAAGATACGTCTCAAACCGTGGCCGTCGTTTGTTTTTTATAGAATAAGGGTGACAAACGAGCACGCAGTGCACTTGATGGTAAGTGGATGCTGAGGCCCATAGATATCTACGTTTATACTCGATTAAGAATCAAAACGCAGATGCGTTGTCACCACTATGGACTAAGATGGAATGACTCGTTTCCAGTAAAACAGGGTCTCCGGATCTCTACATTCACCATACGGTATGGGATTATGTGAGAGCGTGGTCCTACCCTGGTTGAGCTACAACGATAATATATCTGCATCGTGGCTCTACGAGTTTTACGTTCGAAGTAAGAACACATCTATCTCTAACCCTCCCTCCAATCTATCGAAAAATCTTCTGCTATTTCCCAAAGTCACTTACGACACTCTCGTGATGAATTCGAGACATATTTAAACATTACGAAATTAAAATGGTAAATGGTAAATAGAATTCACACGCAACAAAAAATTAAAATTGTTTTAGTACCGTTCTTTTCTTTATAAAAATGTTGAAAATTCTGATCTTACTTGAAAACGGAAATTTCATAATGATTTTTAAAAGCAAACGTTGTACTGCTGCACGGGTCTTCTTTGTCTTGTATTTACTACAAAATCTTGTACAATACTTTTTGTTTTTACGCAAAGTTAAAACCGTATACTAGTACGTTTAACATTTAAATTTAAATGATAATTTTATTGCGTAATTTGAGTCGTGAAAGCTTTTAAGCCATTTAAATATGAGACTAATAAAGTTAGTTATCTCACTATTGCACGTTATAGGCATTAAACATATTTAATTTAACTTACATATTTAATTTAGAGATATTAATGGAAAAGACCTTTAATGTTTTAGGAAGATAAGTCAGGCGCCAAAGAGGGAATTACTTTAGTTGTGTAGATTGTTGCCACTTTCAGAATGTAAATACTTCTCTAACAACGCGACGCGTATCCCTGTCGAGCTACTCGCTGGCTCCGTTATTATTTAAGTTAGCCTTGAAAGGAAAGTTACTTTTCATGCTTATATTAACTAAATGGCTAGGTCTTTTGCAAATAAGGTATTTTGCTCACATTAATCAAGTTTTTAAGTAGTGCAAAGGAAATTTGAGAAATTTTGACAAAATCCAAGCTTCACTTGCAAGTGGCGCATTTAAGCGATTAACGAGCGAGAACTGGACCAATATCAGGCTCGAAAATTCATTCAAAATCATCAAACCCAAATCCCATAGACTGTTATAGAAGAAGTAGATATTAACAGAACTTAACAGAACAGCTTTGGGCTTACTGTGCAATCTACTCAGCATAGTGATAATGGGATCCTTATAAAAATCTATTCTTGATGAAGAAATCTTAAATAGACCTAAATCCAGCAATGGATTATAAAGACTAATGATTAACGATGCATGTTTGCATCCCTCGAACTCGGCATTTAAATCAAACATTTTTCAACATGGCATAGCATAACAGCTCGATGGAATATTTTTTTATAGGAGGGGTGAGGGGTGGCAAACGAGCATACGGCTAACCTGATGGTAAGTGATTACCGCCGCCCATGAACAACTGCAATACCAGGGGAATTGCATATGCGTTGCCGGCCTCTTAAAAAGGAGTAGGCTCTTTTCTTGAAGGTTCCTACGTTAGTTATTATATTCGTCATCACTCGTAAAGTCTCCGTTATTGAATAAGAACCTATCTCAACACTATGATTTCCAGTGCCAAAGAACGTAGTGGTAGATATAGTTAGATGCTGTGTTTTCTTTTAAACTATAGGTAATATACATCCATTTAATTTTTGCCGTAATTTCTGTTTTAATTTAAAACTATTGTTACGAGCTTGAGTTTCGTGACAATAAAAATTGCCGATAGAATTACCTAAATTAACACTTTAATTCACTTTACACTAATTAAAGTTAAAAACACTAATAATTAATCACACTGATTCACTTTATTTCGCTCCGAAGCTTCGCTTGTCTCGCCGAATTCAATACTTCCCCGATCGCATCTTGCAGCGCTTATAAATATAAATTAGCACCGAAATATCCAGAATATTCAAGTAAACACGCGCAAGGTACCGAGAGTTGGAGTTTCAACTTCTAGAAGTTTAGTTCTTCGGTTCGAGACTAGATGGCGCTGTCGGTTGAAAGATTAGTGATGTCATTTTCTGGAAAGCTCCCCTCGCTCTCGTCTCTGACACTAGATGGCGCTAGTGCCGTCGACTTAGGCGCGTAACACTATTTAAGGCATCACACCGAGTAATATTAACGTTCTAATCTATGTACTGCCTATACAAGTTCACTACTGTACATAGGCCTCATAGATGACCTCATATGGAGTAATTTGCCATTGGCAGCTTGTTTTTTATTATATTGGGCTATTTTCAGAAAGATCAGCCGCATCTTACTGATAACAGCTTAATAACTTCCCTTCTTCTCTTTCAGTTCCTCCAAGTAACCTCTTAGGACCGTAAGGTAAGATTACAAAAAGGTAATAGTTTTTATTCCTCTCCCATAATCTATGACAGAAATTACAAAAGGCAGGTTTATATAATATAAGATTTTTTTTTAAAATGATGACTGTCTCCATTGTTACGCAAAGATGGTCACATTAGCGCGGCGTTCTGCTTTATGTTTTATGCATGAGTAAATAGCAAGCAAGCTTTTATCCGTTCGTGTTTAGACAGGCGGCATTCAACTGAGTGTCTAATGAGTCATTGTTCTACCAGAGTGCCTATGAGCTACTAGGTACTATACTATTTTACTAAATGTTTCTGCCTGGGAGTGCGACTAGGTAGTTTTTTTAAATAAGGGTGACAAACGAGCACACAGTCCACCTGATGGTAAGTGGATGCTGTGGCCCATATATCCCCATTTACACTCAATTAAGAATCAAAATGCAGATGTGTTGTCACTCCTAAGGACTAAGATGGAATGCCTTGTTTCCAGTAAAAAGGGTCTCCGGTTCTCTACACTCACCATACGAAACACAACAGCATTCAGCTGCTACTTTACGCTGGTATTCTTTGAGAGCGCGGTCCTTCCTGGTCGAGCCGATCCATTCGTGCTGCAACTATAATATAGCTGCAGCGTGGCTCTATCACGTAAAAGGTACCAATTTCTTACTTTGATTGTAATGCTTTGTTCCGGTATGAAATGTATAGAGAGCCAGTAGAATTAAAAGCTGTGATGCATTCCATCTTAGTCGTCCGAGGTGACAATACAGCTGTAATCTTTTTTATTTTAAGTTGGTTACAGGTGTCCATTTGCCGCCAGTTACCACGTAACATCAGTCGACTGCAATACCGTTTGTCATTTTAGTTACATGAAAAAAGTATTAACAAACTGGACTGCCTCAGAAGGGGTCGTAAGTGTGATAGTCGATCGCGTGATCGGGTTAAAAAAACAGTTATTGGTAATTTCTGTCATGAAATTCTCAATAACGGTACGGAGTCAGGAGGTTGGAGGTGCTCCATTCCCATACCACTGAAAGTTGAAAAGAAAGCTGGAAAGCGTATTAACGCTATTGGTCCTACGCCTGACCTCTCTCGGGTCGTGACGAATTGTCATCCCATCGGACTCTGCTGTACCCTTAGACCATTTGGTTGAATGGTCTAAAATTTAGGTGCATTACTCGTCCATTATGTTGAATGGTCTAAGTTGGCGATGTCATTGGGTTGAATGGTCTAAGCTTTAGGCGCATTACTCGTCCATTGGGTTGAATGGTCTAAGCTTTAGGCGCATTACTCGTCCATTGGGTTGAATGGTCTAAGCTTTAGGCGCATTACTCGTCCATTGGGTTGAATGGTCTAAGCTTTAGGCGCATTACTCGTCCATTGGGTTTAATGGTTAAAGCTTTAGGCGCATTACTCGTCCATTGGGTTGAATGTAGCTTTAGGCGCATTACTCGTCATTGGATTGAATGGTCTAAGCTTTAGGCACATTACTCATCCATTGGGTTGAATGGTCTAAGCTTTAGGCGCATTACTCGTCCATTGGGTTGAATGGTCTAAGCTTTAGGTGCATTACTCGTCCGTTGGGTTGAATGATCTAAACTTTAGGCGCATTACACGTCCATTGGGTTGAATGGTCTAAGCATTAGGCGCATTACTCGTCCATTGGGTTGGATTGTCTCTAAGCTTTAGGCGCATTACTCGTCCATTGAGTTGAATGGTCTATGGCTGTACCGCACCGAGAGCTAGTTTCTATTAATACTGGCCACTTTGATCGAAAATTGATTTTAATTATATTTATTACCTTATTGGACAAGTACGTTAGAATAAAAACAGTTTTCTTTAAACGCGGATCCTTTACTTACAAGTCGTTTCGCTTTTTTTAAAACACATTATTGGTAATCAATCTAGAGAAGGGTAACTTCTTACTTACTACTTTAAGCCAAATTCTCCCAAATTTTGGGAAACTTCTGGTAATTATAAAAATTAATAATCTTTATATTGGCTTCTGGTTAAGCTGATCGTATACCATGGCATAGTCTGAAGATATCCCTCTTCTACAAAAGCGCCTCAACTTACCTTCCGCCACGGCGGCCTTCTTGAGCGCGCCCATAGAGATGCTCTTCCTAGGGGCGGAGTCGCTGGAGTCCTTGGGCCAAGCGAACTGGTTGCGATACTCCGTGCTGACCACGATCTCAGGTTCCTTCGCCGCTAGCACTTCACCCAGGGCAGTTGTAGCCTAGCAAAATAACACGAAATGTCTTAACACAAAATTCCTTAACAATTTCGTTCATCGGATCGTATACAATCGCTTTACAGCTAAACACTTAGACGTGGGCCTCCACTGGAGTTTTTTTTTATAGAATAAGGGTCACAAACAAGCACACAGTCTACAATTATTATCGGTCATAAAGAATCTACATAGAAGCGTTGCCTTCTTATTATGAGAACTAAAATAGAACGCCTCGTTTTTAGTAAAAAGGATCACTAGTTCTCTACACTCACCGTACGAAACACTCCAGCATTAAAAGCTGCTATTTCACGCTGATATTCTGTGAGAGTGTGGTCCTTCTCCGGTCGAGCTGACCCGTTCTTACCAAAACTATAATATAGTTGCAGAATGACTCTAGATCTTTACATATGGATCGGGGATAGAGATAGAGTTTTACATATTATGGATCGGGGATCGTAATGCAGGAGACTTTGTTCCCGGTGCCGGTCTGTGTAATTTAATGTGGCCCATGGAAACGCCAACAAAGAATGCCATAGCGGTACTGTTGTTTTTTGTTAACGATCCGACGAAGGTCGCGAGTTCAAACTACGGTACTTAGTTACGTTTACCGCTTAGCAGCACTATTATTAATATGTATTAATGAAAAGATACACATACCTTGGGTTCGACGGTGTCAGTCCAGCGCGGTTGACGTGGACCCTCGGACTTGCTACGGCGCCCAGCGCGATCTGTCTCGTTCCTCTGGGCGCTCTTGAGAAATAACATGGATTATGTTACTTGTTTAATATGAACTATTAACTCCATCATATGGTTGGTGGGCGATAGAGGTCAAGTATGGCTTGTCACTCCTAAGGATTTGATATGAAAATGAAATACTTCATAACTTGTAATTATATTTGTTACGGTAATTTTAAAGTCGGAATACAAGTGTGTTTTTTATGTATTTATTTAATAATTATTTATTGTGATACACCCTAATATAAGGGTTGCAATGGGCGGACTTGCCTTATGGCATCCTTTACCAGTCAACTCTGGGAGAGTTAGACATGGAAGTTGGTGGGTGCCAAAAATTTTAAAATGATTAGACATATATTTTAAATAAATGTATACGCATACGTATCAATATACATATAGAAAAATAATAAAAATAATAAAAAGAAATTATGAATATATTATATATATAGTACCCGGAGGACAGAGCCTTGCTCGGTTTTTTTTGAAATTACATTTATATACAAATTACATACTGATGAAACATAAATAATACTTTTTGATCTTATTGACATAATAGAAAAAGTTGAACTGGTTATTTGAATAAAAAATCATGAGTGCAATTAGTTTAATTAAAATTTTCGTATATTTAAAAAAATACTAAAAAAAAGGGCTCGAAATAATAGATTTTATCATAAAAGAAGGGAACTTGAAAAAAAAAAAAAAAAAATCGGTCCGAAGACAGACGCGAACCAAGGAATTAAGATCATTCACACAGTGTCAAAATTTACCTTCTTATATTGTAGCAGATTTTCATTGCCTGAAAACACGGACAAAAAGACATTTACTAAAAATAAATCCTAGCTGTATCGATTTATTGCCCCCCGAAACTTCTCGTTTCCGAGATTCCGATTATATATATATATATATATATATATATATATATATATATATATATATATATATATATATATATATATACATAGAAGACCTAAGCCCTACTTAGTAGACTTTTAGGCATCATTTCATATTATCGTCTATAATCATCTTTTTAATCGAATGCCGTCCTCAACATAACATTCTGATGAGCAATATGTTGGCAAAATAACCCTCTTTCGTTACCGTTATAGCCCATAAAAAGTCCACTGCTGAACATTGGCCTCCCCCACAGATAGCTTATAGAAAAGATATTTGCTACAGTTGTTTTACAGACGGGTTGGTAACTGCAGTTTTTAAAAATATTTAGTTATTATAAGAAAGGACTACTGCCCATCTCCTGGTTTGTTTACCTCCGTCGCATCTTACGTCATCCACGTGACGATATGGGTAGTGGATATACTTACAAATACCATATACCACACGGTGAAAATATCCCTCTAATTTCACCGAACTCACACACTGCTGACAGGCGATAATATTACCAGCGCAAGACTACTGGCTACGCACTCGCACTCGCACACATGATCGTGTGCGAATGCGTAGCTACTACGTACTCACCAACAAACATACAATGAGGTCTTTTTTTACAAGTATGGGTAACTAACGAGCACACACTCCACCCGATGGATAGTGGATGCTGTGGCCCATAAACATCTACATCTATCTTCGATTACGAGTCAAAATGCGGATGCGTTGTTACCCTTGAGAATTGAAATGGAATGATTTGTTTTCAATTAAAAGAGTCTCCTATAGTTTTACTAGAGTTCACTATACGAAACACAGCAGAATTTTAAGCTACTATTTTACGCTGGTATTCTGTGAGAGGGTGGACTTTCCCCGTTTAAGCCAACCCATGTTGTTCAGGATATTTAACGTTTTACGAAGACGAGTGATCCCAGCATCTGTGACGTCCATCACCCTATTTCGTCCCGTGGATGTCGTTGACTGAGAAAATGGAATAGATATTTAATATCTTAGCGGTCAGCCACCGCATAGTCTACATCACCTGAGGATGCCTCGTGTAGAGACGAAACACGTATCGTATTATCAACGATGGTGTGCCTTTTCTAGTGTGGTGTTGGGAGTAGTGGTGCTGAGATTAGTGGTGACAGGATTAGTGCACGCAATTGAGCGAGGGCGGGAGGTGCTCTTCAAACTAGGTAAGACGCATCATTTTATTTTATTGAGTGGATGTGTGCGAATTAATTCTTAATAACTTTAATAAAAGGGAATAGCCCAAAAATATTTTACATCTAGAACCATTTCTTTACGCATGGCGCCTAAATTACCAACCCCAGGGACAGAAAGCAGCGTCAAAGCTGCGAGACGTATAGCACTGCGCTCAACAACCCGGTTGGCAAGCGTGACGATTAAGCTCCTCAAGACCTGTCTAGCAGTCGATTCATACGGGCTGAAGAAGAAGAAGATAGATTTCTTTATAAGATCGAAGTGACAAGGAACTTACAGCCCACCTGATGTTATGAACACTGCGTTCTATACACACCTGCACCCACTTCAAACAAAGTAAGCTATAATTTATGACCTTTTTTACCGTCTGGAAAAAAATAGGGTGTAACATGTGAACCGAGTATAAGTCTATGGCACTGATTGATTGGACTGACGATTTGGAATTAAATAAATAATTTTTTTCAAACGTTTAATTCAAAATTTTTGTTTTTATTTTTTGTAAAATATCGGTGCCATAGGGTTCTTACTCCGTTTACATGCTATACCTTATTTTAACATGAATAAAATGGAATGCCCTTGCCTGTCTGAATATCCTTCAGACCGGAACACAACAATGAAAGCACTGATATTTGGCGGCAGCAATTGGAAATAGGGTTGTACCCGAAAGGACTCCTAGGCACGAGGATATATAAGAGAAAAGGAGTCAAACCACCAGTAAGCTATTGTTTAGTTAAATTCTAAAATTGGACAGTGCTCACCCTGGCGCGCTCGAAGGCGGACGTCTGCTGGGGGCGGATCTCGTCAGTGGGCGCCGGGTCGAACAGCTCGTTCGTCTTGTACGCCACACCGGGGTACTTCTTGCGACGAGGTATCGCCGGCTCCATGGGTCCTGGGAAGAAAGAGTATCTTAAAAATAAAGCACTCGTAATGCCTAAGCAATTGTAGCTCAGGAATAAGCACGTGGTATAGTAACGTTGCTGCGTGTTTTGGTTGCAGCACGAACGGTTTGCTGCTAGACCGTAAAAAGTTATATAGCTTAAATTAAGCCCGGTCCCGGTTATGGCTCGAATTCACGTTCGCATCACACAGAATACCAGCGTGAAACGTACTAGCTACCTACGTATATTGTAGCTTGAATTCACAAACAATTGTTAAGTCTGCGCGAGTTAACTAATTCCGTTTTATAGCTAACGAACGGTTTGGCTCGTTGATTTTTATAGCTTAATATGTAACATCCCAAAAATATTAAAACTAAAAACTAAAAAATATATTAAAACTAAAAAGAGTAGAAGGCGCGATGTTTTTTTTTTTCAATTTTCGGGCATTAAGGGCGAGCGTACACACAGCTCCTTGAGCTTGAGTTAGCTCTGATTTCGCAGTTTTATGTTGCAGTATGTTTTCAGTGTGTGTTAATATTTCGTATAAGTTGTCTTTTTCTTATTATTACTTTTTAAAATCCAAAATGTATAAATGTTTTGCAAGTATATACATAAAATGAGACATAATGGTTCTGTATTATGTAATGCTCTACTCTCGACTTGCCGTTATGTGACCATTTTGCAATATAAAATTGTTAGTATGTCTCAATTTAGACACTAAATCAATAAAAAATGATATTTTGGAAAACTAGATATATTAAATAATAAAGTCAGCGTATGGTTTTATTCATTTCCTCATAAAAAATGTATTCACTTTTACTTCCATAAAGAGCATAGTAGAATATTTTTTATTTAATATAGATTACAAGTAATCTCCTTTTAAGTCATTTATGTTTTTATTACTGGTCAACGAGCAAATCAAGTTCCATTACCAATGACAGCACTGAAATCTTTAATCGCAATTTTAAATCGGGCACCGGCATGTCTTAATTTTTGTTTTAAACATTACCTCTACAACTGTATTTCCTACTGTATCGTGGTAGCGTTTTAGATTATAAATTGTACACGGACAAACATTCAGTTATTTTATAGGTCATACGAACACTTGTTCAAACAGTTAGTAAGCACCACGACTGTTAGTATAAATATTACTATAACATCTGGGGTAAACTTAGTTTGTCGATACGGCACAGATGCGACGTGTCTTATCGAAGTTTTATCGATGTCGATAATGCGTATATTTCTTGACTTGTCGACTTTATTTTTCATGATACTTTTTCATTATCAGTAGTATCTTAACCAAGTGAAGATAATAAACACGCAAGTAAAAAACTATTTATTTTCGTAAGACGATTTTGACATATAGTAAAAAAAAGACGTAATGAATTTTAGCCCAATAGAAAGTTAGGGCTTATTAATTTGTTGATCTTATTATAGTTACTTATAGAACCAAAAACTTTATAGTTATTTGAATTAGCTTGACAAAATGTGCTTTCGTTTTATTTAATGCCAAAAAGATGCGCGTTTCTAATGTTTTATTTATTAGTTACCTCGGAAAGAAAATACTGTATAATTTACTATAGTATCTGAGGGTAATATGCTCATCCGTTTAATACTTTCTTATTACGCAAAAACTACAACCTTGTTTTATTATTATTAATTTGTAGATCTTATTATAACACACTACTTGTAGTTACTTATAGAACCAAACATTATAGTTATTTAGACTAGCTTGATAAATTGCGCTCTTGTTTTATTTGATGCCAAAAGATCAGCGTGAAAATTTTAATTCTTTTTTATTTATAAGTTACCGCGGAAAGAAAATACTGTATAATTTATTAGTAAAAGTAATTGTGTAAGTATTTCATGTTGTATTTTGATGTAGATTCATTTTGATGTCATATGGAGTTTTTCTATAAGGAAATGCGGCTGATTTAGAAACTATTTTTGTTTTGTATCTTAAACCGAGAGAGTCTCTTAGAGAAAAATTTAAAGAAATAAATATATTAACTTTGGCCTTAGTATACTGAGAAGTATACTTACGAAAATTTAATGTATGTTCACAAAAACAAAGGTAGTTTTAGTAAAGTGTGATATACACTCTGTAAACACTAGGGACAAACACAAGCTAGTAATACCAGTTTCTCCACTTCACAGAGTCAGTAATTCATTCTTGGGGCAATGTATACGCTATTACAACAAAGTCCCAGAAAATATACAAGGTCTCTCTATTACCAAGTTAAAATATTTAATTAAACAAAAACTTTATAAAAAGGCTTATTATAACATAAATGAATACATGGTTGATAATAACCCCTGGGAATGAGGTGGTCGCTTCCAAGCTGTTACTAAAATAAATTTTGTAAATATTCTGTAACATTTTTACAAAATTTATTTTGTAAAAATGTTACAGAATATTTACAACTTTGACTTTTTTTCAATACATTTCAAAATGTATTGAAAAAAAGTCTCGCTGAGTTTCCTGCTGGTTTTTCCCAGGACAAAGGTTTTTTTCTAACCATTGGTAAAATTAAAAAAATAATTTCAATAAGAATTTCATATAATCCATATTGGATAAAAAATACACTTTTAAAGGTAAATTGTAAATTTCATTGTTAAATATATTTTGTACTTGATATTTTCGCAAATACGCTTTTTAAAATAAAATAGAAACATTTAATATAAGGCTTTTTTATTATTTCATTTTGTATACTTTGGCTCTTTTCGTGGATTTTCGTGCATATTTTAGATATTTTTCTTGCATATTTGCATGCATATTTTGGGCTTTTCATGTTGCATATAATCCGGTCTATATGATTCATCATTCATCACTATTATTACAGCGAATAAAGCCCACTGCTGAGCATAGACCATTACCATATCATAAATTACCTCATTACGGGCATATTTGCTACAGTTGCCACGCTTAGTAAGCGAGTTAGCAACCGTAGTTTTTTATTAATTTGAATTGTTATCATTAAGATGCTGCTGCCCAACTCCACTTGTAGATTTTAATAAAAGAATTAAAAAAATCACATTATTTTTGTCATTTATTAAGGTTTACCAATGTTTGATTACACTGTATTTAACAAAATGGCTTAAGAACTAACTTACGTAGCTAAGTGTAACAATCGTTTAAGGTAAACACCACATGCATTTTAGGTGATACGCAGTCCGTAGTCCATACCTATTAAAAATAAATGAGAGATGTTAAAAATTAGGAAAACCTTTTAGAATTACCTAACCTAAATGATCTAACTATTAACAACACTTTAAGTTCGATAATAACCAGATGTCAGGTACATATTCGATGTGTATAGCCGATGATAAACTCAGCACTTAACATACCGCTTCAACGAGTTTCCAACCAGTCGCAGGAAATCCTCATTTGCCGCAAACCTGAAGCAATATACGCGGAAGTCTGAAGTTTCCATGTATTCAACATCCTACTTCAGACGTTTACCTCGGAAAAGTGACAGTTAACGTATAAATTCATATAATATAGCTTTCAAACTTTGTTCATTTATTTATTCATTATTTATTTTATGATTAATCTACAAAAATACAATGCTAAGTCCAGTTATGAGGTAACAAGTAATTTCATTTACTGGTAAACATAGTTTGTGATGCGTAGGTGCATTTAGAATCATATTGTGGATGCTGTGGTCCACAGATATCTTCATCCACCCTTGATTAAGAATCAAAATGCAGATGCGTTGTCATCTTTGAAAACTAAGATGAAATATAAGAAAGGGTCTCCGGTTCTCTACGCTTACCATATGAAACACAGCAGCATTTACCTGCTATTTTATGCTGGTATTTTGTGAGAATGTGGTCCTTCCCCGTCAAGCCGACCCATTCGTGCTACATCTATAATATACGAGTAGTTACAGCATGGCTCTACTACAATAACTTAAAATACGTTATAAACAATAACTTAAAATTTGAATATAATAGGCACTTTGGCGGCTTTTCATCTCAAAGGTAACTCGATTACGGTCACGTTTGATCTCAATTAATGATGAAATTTATAACGTGTAAGTATAAATCTCTGAGATGATATGTTGGTGTGTAATTTTACGTCACAAACGCCTTGGCAGAAGTATCAGTCTACTTCTTTTTCTTTTCCCTGAATATTGCCCCAATTTAGTTGGGGTTAGCCCTCCTAGTAATCTTGCCCCACACCTAATAATTCAAGTATTTTTTTTAGTTTATGCAGGTAGGTGGTCGTCTACCTCTACACAGTTATTTTGAAATATTGTTCGTATTTGCACGCCTCGATAAGGAGAATGTATAGGAATTTTTGTTTCTTGTAATTTCTACTTTATTTGCATAGAATGTTATGAAAAGAACCGTTGTTCGCATCTTCTGTGCCCATTACTATTTTAGTCATATGTTCATCATCCCGTGACCGTAACAGCAAAGACGGTTTTCGAAGTTTTTCGAGTACCTTGGCTACCCTGAAACTACTACAAATATAATCGGTTATTTTATCCGTTCTAGAAACGCCGCCAGATTAACGTAGCGTCTTCATCTCAGTGACGAGAATTTTCTGTCCATCCGCCTCTCTCATCGGCCAACAGTTCTCTCTCATCAGCCAATAGTTAGATCTATACAGCAGAACTAGTTTTACAGCTCTTTTGTATACCTTGCTCTTAATTTTAATAGATATATGAGAGTCGCATTGAATGCCAGACGGCGATCTTCATTTCAACCAACCTGTCTGGGTCCCACTTTTTATGTCTCTTACTATGCATGTTTTGGTGTTACGATGGATCCGAGATACTTAAATCCTTCAATTCTCTTAAAAGGTTAACTTTCGATAGATGGATATGGAATAGCACCCATATGGGCATTAGAAAAGCTGCCGAGCTCCAACACGTCAAGCAAGTTTTGCATAACAGCAGCTTCGGGTCCCACGCCTACGTCACAGTGAACGAGTGAAGCCGGCCACAGTCGAGCGTGTATCTGCTGTACTGCCATATGTTAGAGGAGTCACTGACAAGATTGGCTACATCTTGAAGCGTGCTTCCTTTAAAACATACTTCAAGCCGCCGAAGTCATCATTGTCATTCTTTTTTTACCATCAGTCAAGTGTAACGTACCTCTGCAAGATGCAGGAGTGTACAAGCTTGATTGTGAATGTGGTCTCTCCTACATAGGACAAACTAAAAGATCAATTAAAACCGGCGTTAAAGAACATATAGCTGATGCAAAGAATCGACGCTCCGGGAAGTCTGCAGTCTGTGAACACGTACAGGATCGCCCCCGTCACTACATCAGATTTGATAGATCACAAATCCTCGTTAAAGAACACCGATTCCTTCCAAGGACGATTCGCGAGGCTCGATGAAATCAAAAAAACATCCATATTTCAATAGAGAAGATGGCTGGTTGCTACCATCTGCTTGGGATCCTATAATTAATAAAATTAAATACCAACCCAAGCATACAAATGCAAGACTTCAAGATACTATAAGTTCATACTGTGTAGATCGGAACAATTTAATCTATGGTAACCGCGGTTAACTATGACATCTAGAGTTGAACATCTCAGTCTCCCCCCGTGACCATGGGTGCTGAAAAGTGCTGGAAACGTCGGGTATTTAAAAAAGTTAAATATAGGCGATAAAATCTGTAAAGACTCATATTATTTAAATGTGTAGTGTTCGCGTAAATATAAGAAATCATTATAAATGTATTCTCAACATCAGCTGCCGATCCCCACAACTATAATTCTTAGGACAGACTATGGAAATAGCAATAATAAACCAACTCTGCTGTGTATGGTAAACAGCCTTAGTTTAGCCTGGTCGCTCAAAACGTATGCCGAGCCATAATATGTCTACCACGTACATACAAGAAGCGACGCCTAGACCTGGTTACTTGCAGCAAGCGTTCGAGCTCTTAACGTTAGAGCTCTAAACTTAAACGTCAATCATTTAAACATGATGAAGTGAATAATGCAATGTCAAAATTAGTGCACTGGTTTAACGTTAATAATCTATATTTAAACGGCAATAAAACTAAATGTATTAAATTTACAACAACAAATGTAAAAAATCTGAATACCAATGTATTTTTAAATGGGGAAGAACTGAGCCCTGTTGAATCCTCTGTTTTTCTTGGCATCACTCTCGACGCTAAGCTTCAGTGGGGCCCCCATATATCTAAACTACCAAGCAGACTATACTACTTTAGCCTACTTGTACAAATTAACAAGCGTGCAATGAGGCAGGGCGGTCGGCGTGCATGGCCAGTCACAAATAGTTGGTAAAATTATATCTTCAGAAACGGCCGCTTAAAATATGTGGTTCGGCTGTAAAAAAAAACATCGTGAGGAAACCCGCATGACTGAGGAGTAAAAATGTCTCAAGGACGTGAAATCCGCCAACACTCACTGGAGCAGAGTGGCGGACTAATGAGATCATCCAAGACTTTTTCGACCACCAGATTTCATAGCGAGGAAGTTGAATTGTTTGGAAAATATAATGAACAGGTAATTAAAAGAAAGGGGAATGAAGGTGAGCGCAAGTACGAGACGAAAGTTATTGTTTTTAAAAGAGAAGAAAGTAAAACGATATGTGAAATATGAAGGGGAGTTGCTCGAGCAAGTAGAGTAGAGTAGAGTTTGTATATTTGGGATATATATTCAGCAGGAATCGGAATGGGAGATATGATAAGGATATAGAACGACGACTGAACGCAGGACATAAAGTAAATGGGGCCCTATACTTTATTGTAGAAAGTCAGAATGTGTAAAAAAAAGACAAATATGGCAATTCACAATGCACTTTAACGTATGGTAGTGAAAGTTGAGTGTGGTGTGTGGTAGTGTGGCTAGGATTAAGAAAGGAATGCTCCGGTGGTTTGGTCGTGTAGAAACAATGAATGAGGAAAGAGTGACTAAGCAAATTTATCCTGCAGAAGTGAACGGCAGAGTCGGAAAGGGACTTCCTAGGCGAAAGTTTATCGACCAAATTGGCGATATATTGAAAATGGGCCAAATTAAGAATACCCTTAACCGACGAGCATTTATGCGTAGGTATGTGGTTGAGGAGGAGGCAAGAGGGGTGTGTCAGGATCGTTCTAAATGAAAATCTGTAGTCTCCCCCTACCTACCCCTCTGGGTGACAGGCGTTAGTGTTTATATATTTTTTAATGAAAATGTAAGGATTAATATTTGTTTCTGTAACATTAGCTATATTCTATATTAATTAGATTAGAAATGAAAAAAAAAACAAACTATAATCCGTAAAGTATTGTTTTATAATATTCTAGAAACTAGTCTCCAGAGTATTATAAAAACAATACTTTGTAATTAGTTACAGCCTATATATGTCCTACTGCTGGGCACAGACCCCCTTCTCATTTCTCAGAGCGTTGTAGGACAAGGGAATGTCCGCCGCGCTGCCCCAATAAATGCGTGTTGGCGAACTTCATCGCCATATTTTTTTCTTAATCGAAATATTTTTTTTCTTATTTCTCACAAATGCAGGTTTCCTCACGATGTTTCCCTTCACCGCCGAGCACGTGGTATATCGGCACTTAAAATTGCAATTAATAATTTCATTGGTGCCGGCGGGGATCGAACACGGTCTGCTCGCGTTCTGTAAAATTTATAGCGAGCGCTTAGCCCCTGAGTTACCACGGCTCTAGAAACTAATAAACTTTTGTTTAAAACTAACTTCTCAATTAAATTACACTGTGTGGTTCCAAACTTCACCTCAGTTTTAACTAACGACATCTGGCGAGCGTAAGGTCATCAGCTCTCTTTGCTCCATAATCCTCTCAGAAATGAGAGTCGGGACTCAGGTCCAGCAGCGAGCGCATTTAGACTGTGACGTCACTGTTTTATTTCTGAAACGGTCGCTTACCCCTGGTAAGATTCAAGGCGGAGGGAGGGGTGGGGGCGGGCTGCTTGACCACCCCCTGCTGTTGCTGCTGCTGCTCCTTGTATTCGTGCCATCTGTACGTGCTGCGATACTCCGAATGCAGCTGCGAACAAAGAGAAGACATGTTTATGTATATATTACGTCATGTCATGAATTGAAGTGTATGTTTGTAATGTCAAAATAATGGACTGATTTTGACGGGACTTTCACTGCCAACTTTTAAAATGAGTACTTTTCATTTTAGAAAAAGTAATAGGGTTCCGCGCAAAAAAAATTAAAAACCTTGAAATCTGAACGAAATAAATTCCACGCGGACGAGTTCTCGGGTAACACCTAGTGTAATATATATAAAATAAATTTTGTGTGCGCCGTGTGAAGGCGGTGTAAAAGAATCCATTTTCCCACTTTGTCTCATAGGTGACGTAATAGTCGAATAAGGGAAATTCCTGAAAAATCTCAAAAAAATAACATCTTCCGATAGATGGCGGTAGTGGCAGCTTTAGAGCATCCATAATCACATTTATTCTCGTGGGTGTCGTAAAAGATGAAAGAAGAAAACTAAAGCAAGAGATGGACAGCAACCTCATACTCAAAGACAGTAGCATATTTTAAGAATTACACAGTAGGTACTCGTTTATCTCGCGACAAGCTCTTATATTATATAAATACTGTAATATAAATTGATGGGTTTGATTTAGTTTAAGGTTTATTTTCTTCATTTTAAATCATTAAATAAAAGCTTGTTTTTAAAAATGATTTTTATTTACAATCACTTTATTATTTCATTTGACACGAATAATTCTCTAAAAAGCAAAATTTGACACTTTTATTCTTGCATCACCCTCAGTTTAAGCACTGGCCGAGCCGGTTTAAAACAGTTTCTCTTTACATGACGAGAAGCCAGTGCTCACGCACACACGCGCGTCAAGCTTGTAGTAGTGTAACCATCATAGCGCCGTTGTATTGTATGAAGCTTCGCTGCTGCTGCTTAGCTTTGAAGCTGTACGGTACGGTTTCTTTACTCATGTGGTGAGACTGTGGTTGCCAACTTTCATGCCAAGAGTGTCAACTATGCCAAATAATCCCTGTGTAGGGTGTTTACTAATTCTAATATTGATTAGATCAGACTGCCTCATTGGTTGTAAACAGCTGAGGTCCTGGGTTCGAATCCTGGGTCGGACCAAATTTAGTTATTGGGTTTTTCTGTTATGAAGTTCTCAGTACAAACAGCACGGTATCAGAAAGTTGACGGTGTTTCACCCCCGTAGCTTAGACAGCAAGTAGAACCGTACCGTATCTCTCCGGTCGTGTCGAATTGCCGTCCAATAGGACTACGAGAATGAGGGAATAGAAATACCTGTGCTTTCGCATAAACTAAAGCCTGGAAATTCGGTCTGGAGGACATTATTTTTATTATGTAGGGGTATTTATAGAGTTGGGCTGAATAAATATATAAAAAGAAATGATAAATATACAGTTCCTGGATGACCGAGCTTTCCTCGGTATTTTTTTTGGAAATCGTGTGTTTTGGAAATTATATTTATATACAAATTACATACTGATGAAACATGAATAATTTCATGTTTCATCAGTACGTACATAATAGAAAAAAACTGAACAGGTTATTTAAATAAAAAAATCATGAGTGCAATTAGTTTAATTTAAATTTTCGTATTTAGAATAAGGGCTCGAGGTAATAAATTTTCTCACAAAAGAAAAGAACTTGAAAAAAAAGCAGGACGCGAACCAGGGCACATTTCGCGACGGCCCGATATCCATTTGAACTATTACGTTCACTAACACAGTGTTAAAATTTACCATCTTATATTGTAGCAGTTTTTCATTGCCTGAAAACACTGACAAAACGACATTTTTTTTAAATAAATCCTATATATATATATATATATATATATATATATATATATATATATATATATATAGTACCCGGATGACCGAGCTTTGCTCGGTTTTTTTTTAAGTTACATTTAGATACAAATTACATGAATAATATTTTTTGATCTTATTGACATAATAGAAAAAACTGAACTAGTTTTTTGAATAAAAAATCATGAGTGCAATTAGTTTAATTAAAATTTTCGTACTTTAAAAAAAAAAACTAAAAAAAGGAATCGAAATAATAGATTTTCTCACAAAAGAAGGAAACCTGAAAAAAAAAGGAAAAAAAGTCGGACCTAAGACGGGACGCGAACCAAGGCATTACGATTTCACGACCGCTCGATATCCACTTGAGCTATTACGATCATTAACAAAGTGTCAAAATTTACCTTCTAATATTGTAGCAGTTTTTCATTGCCTGAAAACACGGACAAAAAGACATTTTCTAAAAATAAATCCTAGCTAGATCGATTTATTGCCCCCGAAACTCCCTGTACATTTTATGAAAATCGTTGGAGCCGTTTCCGAGATTCCGATTATATATATACAAGAATTTCTCGTTTAAAGGTATAGGATTAATATATATTTATTATACTAACGTAAATAAATAAAAGCACAACCAGATGGAAACCCTTGTTAGGACAGACCAAACTCTCATCATCATCATCAAACCCTCGGTGTTAAGGGGAAAGGGAAAGAAACTGGCGGACGATGCGGGCGGTATCGAGAAGCACCGTCTTCTGCATTTGAGCTCGGAGCGGTGCGTCACGGAGTCCCAGTCGCCTCAGATAACCCGACAGGCTGACCGGGATTAGTCTGTTCGCAGAGCAAGACTAAGGAATAATTTCCTTCGGCAGACCATCCCACGTGTCGGTCACCTCGAGAGCCAGGTCCAGATATCTTATCATTATTATTATTATTGGTAAGATGTTACTAAGAGTAACAATAATACATATGGAAGACATAATAAGTCGAATAAAATATTTTTTCCCACTCGTACCTTATTTTATACGTTGCCGTACGTTTTGTTTAAATTTAACACGAAACGCTTGAATAAAAATCAGAAAAAATTTGAAGTAGGCTTATCTAAAATAACAATATTTCCCATAGATAGCTTTCCAATCTCTGTATCGATATTGCTCCATAAACACTGTCTGAATTAGATCAAAACTAGTGATGTTGCATTCATTTATCGACAATTTAATTCTCAAATTTTGTGCTAGTAATTGATGGTTATTATTAAATGTCAAATATTTATTATAGATATGTTGCACACTTTCCTATTCCAAAATATTACAGAAATAAATAGACATTTATGCCTAATAGGATATATATATTCTTTATAAGTGTCAGAACATTTTATTTTACAATATTCTACAAAGTTTCTGTTTGATTTGAATGGCCCGCTTAGCGTAGGTTAAATGGGCAAATAGGTACTATAAGTTATGTGCGAATAGTAGCAAAAACGTGAAATAGCGTCTAGTAGTGGCTGCTGGCTGTAGATGATAATGATGATCAAGTAAAAAAAAGCGGCCAAGAGCGTGTCGGGCCACGCTCAGTGTAGGGTTCCGTAGTTTCCCGTTCGGCACAATAAGTGTTCCCACTTATGAGTTTAAATGTGGGTATCCATTATGTTCGCGCTCCAGCAGCGCTCCGCGCTCCTGCAACTGCTCCCGCTAGTGGGTACTGTTGTTTCCATCCAAGTTCAAAATGATTTTCCTAGATAGTCCTTATAAAGTTCTACTTTTCAGATTTTTTTCATATTTTCTAAACTTATGGTTCAAAAGTTAGAGGGGGGGGGGGGACACATTGCTTTTTACTTTTGGAGCGATTATTTCCGAAATTATTGACATTATCAAAAAATGATTTTAGTAAACCCCTATTCATTTTTAAATACCTTTCCAACAATATATCACACGTTAGGGTTGAAATTAAAAAAAAAATCACTTCCCACTTTACATATAGGGGCGCTACCCGAATAAAACATTTTTTTCAAATTTTTATTTTACCACTTTGTCGGCGTGATTGATACACATATTGGTACCAAATTTCAGCTTTCTAGTGCTAACGGTCACAGAGATTAAGCGAGGACGGACAGACGAACAGACAGACATGGCGAAACTATAAGGGTTCCTAGTTGACTACGGAACCCTAAAAAATGAACGTTAGAATGATGGCACCACTATCGCTATAAGACCTTTTCGTACAACTCTCTTAACTATATCTGTCGCCAAGCAGTAGTACATACACTGTTTTTTTTTTTGTAGAATAAGGGTGACCAACGAACACACGGTCCACCTGACGGTAAGTGGATGCTGTGGGCCATAGACATCTACATCTACCCGCGATTAAGAATCAAAATGCAGATGCGTTTTCACACCTGAGGAACAAGGTGGAATGCCTCGTATCCAGTGAAAAGTGTCTCCGGTTCTCTACACTCACCATACGCTGGTATTCACGCTGGTATCATGATACTCGGAGGTGACAACGATTCTAAAGCCTCCTTTGTAAATAGGTTGCGTGTAGCCAATTATCATCAGGTGCCTGTAAGTTCCCCCTCACCTCAATTTTATATAGAAACACATTAAATTGATGTACGTCTTCCATTTACAGTGTAATGAACATGAATCGCCATAAACCTATATTCAAATTACAAGCATTTATTTGTTTCTCTATTAATTTAATGACTGTAATAAAGCCTAAAATAGACTAATGCTTTGTTGAGATAAACATTCTGTACACGTGGACGCTATCGAATTAACGACCCCTCGTAACTTATTCCTCGCACGTAAACTCGGATACTGGGTTTAGCATAAAAATGAATTTCTGTGGATTGTTAAGTTTCTAGCTCTACTTTTCGTTAAATTTTAGACAAACAAGCTCTGCTATGGTATGATGGTTCCGTAAAGCTACTACCAAATGCAATTTTAAGTGTTGATAAACCGTGGCCTTCGCGGTAAAGGAAAAATCGTAAATAAAACGATTTTCCATGTATAATAAGTAAAAAAATATATAGAAGAATATAAATGACCGCCACACTAGTGCAGAATTTCATCATGATTATTTGTGTAAATTCTGGACAGAAATTTAAATATTGCTTAACATTGCAGAAAATCGCTTAGACGGGTTTCAAACTGACTGAGCGTACTTGTAGTCAATCTGATGGTAGATGTCTACTGCATATAATAAACGCATTTAAAGAAATATTTTTAAATGTGTTTTTACCTA